AAAAAATCATTCCTATTAAGCATAAAAAAAAATTGGATCACCACTTTCCTTTTCATATCGTGTGGTGGTAGTGGTTGTGGCATGGTGGTGGTGGTTGTGGCGGCAATGGTGATGGTGGTGACAGCAGTGCCTGCGACGATGGAGGTGGTGGTTGGTGACGGTGTTGGTAGTGGTGATGAAGGTGGCAGTGGCATCGTGGGGATGGTGGTGGCGGTGACGACAATGGTGGTGGTAATGGTGGTGATGGTGGTGGCATAGCGGTGATGACGATGGCGACAATGGCTGTGACAATTGTGGTGGTAATGGTGGTGGTGGCACAGTGATGGCGGTGGTGGTGGTGAATGGTGATGGCAGTGACTGCGGTGAAGGTGGTAGTAGTTGGTGACAGTGGTGGTGATGATGGCACTGATGGTAGTGGTGGCGGTGATATGGAGGCGGTGGTTATGATGGCGGTGGCATCATGGTAGTGGTGGTGATGATGATAGTAGTGGTCAAAAGTAATTGAGAGAGACAAGTGTTTCCTATTTTGTACTCGGGAACAAAAAAATAAATTTTTGATTCTTTTTTCTGTTTCCTACCACAGAAATTGAACCGATTCATTCTCGGTAATAACAAGATAAATCGATTTTGTCAAACACTGTTTCTATCCATTTCTGTTCCGAGGAACAAAAATTGAAATAAAAAAACTGATTCTTGGAAGATTGTCATGCACACTCTTATAGTAATTAATGTGAGGAGGAAAGTAAAATATAAAAGACAGAAATATTTTTTTATATAAAATCATTTTCAAATAATCTTGTATATATTTTTTAAGAAATAAAATATATTAAAAAAAATACAGTTCATATAGTCTTGGCTAACAATATAGTCTATACTAATGGTACGTAGTGGATTCAAGATGGGTCGTTACCTTGGCGTTTGATTGAAAAACGTTAGGGTGACTAAGAATTCCTTCGCCAATATAGTTAAGAGAAATCTTGAAAATCGCTTAATCTCGGAAATATGTGATGGCACCCAGATTAGCTTTTGTCATGATAAATGGACCAACCACACACACATAGGCTACTTGACCACGGCAGATTAGTTTGTGTTACAGCACAAACTACGGATGGCATCCCATGGAGAACAATCTTCTTAGTTACGTGTTGGCAGATTTGGCTTTGGCAAAACAACCAAATCCATGGGTACGTAAACACGCTACGTGACTACTCCATGCATAGGAAATTCGCTTTGTATATTTAAATGGTCATCAAAGCAACACCAACTAATCTCATACAGTAGCGGTTATCAGTTGGTTCCCTCCTCAAGAAGGCTGAATAAAACCAATACAGATGGGGCTTGTTGAGGAAATCCAGTTAAATTTGCTTGTGGGGGCATATTCAGAGATTAGACAGGCCAATGGTTGATGGGCTTTCCCTACCGTATAGGGTTTTGCTTGGCTCTCCTTGCAATATTTTGGGTCATTTTGAAAGGTTTAGCGGTGGCCCGGAATGAAGGCTAAAAGAAGGTTGTTGTAGAAAGTGATTCGATTAATGTAATCACTCCGCTCACTAAGGCTAATCATGCAGCCCGTGAGTCACACATTGTGACAAGAATATGGACATGGACATCTCAACTAGGGCTGTGCGTGGTTCAGATCGAGTCAGATTTTTGTTCCGACTCGATCCAACTTGGTTTTTGTAGGTTAGGTATTTTGAACCAACTCCCGCTTTAATTTGATCCAAGTCCTTGGTTTGGATTTTTTTGAATTAGTTCAGAATCGAGTCGGATCTGACCTGACTTGATTTTTGAAGTGGGTCAAATCTGACCTGACCCGTTTTTGACTTGGTTTCGTCACAAAATTTCGTCGAAATTTCTATGTTGCAAACAACAAAAAATTCATCACAAAATTATTTTTTCGTCGGAATACATTTTGGCGAAAAGCGTCAGAATTTTTTCTCTAATGAAAATTTTTACAAAAATAAATTTTCTATCGAAATTTAGTTTTCGTCAAAAGTTTTGAAGAAAATGATTTCCTCCATCAAATGTTTGAAACGAAAAAAGAATTCAGTCAAAAATTTTAACAGAATGTTTTTCGTTCAAAATTTCGAGGGGAATGTGTTCTGACGAAAATTTCGACGGAAATTGTTTTGAGGGAAATATTTCATTTGAAACTTTCGACGAAATTTAGATTGTCTAAAGAATTTTTGACAGAATAATTTTTCCGTCAAAATTTTTATCGAAAATTTTTTTGTCAAAAAATCTATCGAAATTTTTTGACAGAAATGCGTTCTGTTGAAAATTTTGATGGAAATTTTTTTTATCAAAGAACTTGACAAAAATATATAATCGAAAATTTTCGATGGAAATGTGTTTCGCTAAAAATTGCAATGAATTTTTTTTTTGTCAAAAAGTTTAACGAAAATGTTTCCCTCGAAAACTTTCGCCTAAATTTGAATTCTGTAAGAATTTTGATAAAAAAAATTTCCGTCAAAAAATTTCTATGGAAATGTGTTTCGTCAAAAATTTTGATGAATATGTTTTTTTGTGAAATATTTTGACGAAATTTAGATTCCGTAAAAAAATTTGACAAAAAAATTTTTCCGTCAAACTTTTTTACAGAAATGTTTTTAGTCACAAATTTTGATGAAAATATTTTTCGTCAAAAATTTTTGCCAGAAATTTTAATGAAAATACTTTTTCGTAAAAAATTTTGACGTAATTGTTTTACGTTAAAACTTTTCTTTTAATGAAATTGGGAATTTTTTTTTTAACATAATGGATATGGGTCACGTTTTGGGTCAATAAGTCATTATTAAAATAAGTGAGGTCTAAAACTGACCCAAATAAAAGTGAGTCAGTATTTAAACCAGTTCAAAAAAAATAGATATTTATGGGTGAAGTCAAAGTCAGATCAAGAGCAGAGCAAATGAACCAATTTTCTAGTCCTTATTTATACTGAATTCAATTCCTTATTTATATTCTTTCTATTTCTAGTATTCAGACTTTTTATATATTTTTATATATCCATTTTTATATGATATTTTCAACTTTAGAACATATATTAACCCATCTATCGGATGGCCCAGCTGCGCCAAGGAAAAGAATAGAAGACTGACTTGACTCCTTCATGCATGCTCCACTTGACTCGGGGGGATATAGCTCAGTTAAAATATGCTAGACGCGCTCAATTAGGTGAAATTTTTGAATTAGATCGTGCTACTTTGAAATCGGATGGTGTTTTTCGTAGCAGTCCAAGGGGTTGGTTTACTTTTGGACATGCTTCGTTTGCTCTGCTCTTCTTTTTCGGGCACATTTGGCATGGTGCCAGATATTTTTTCTAGTATCTGGAGCACGGAATATATAAAATTTCTTTTAAAATAAAAATATTAGAACTATGATTCATACCTCATTTCATATTTAGAATTAATACGAATAAAAAAACAAATCAAATATAGAATATCCTATATTTATTATCTATTTGATATTCTAGTAGTTCTCGAACGAGCAATCGAAATGATTCGGGAGCATCCGCAGGTTTAGGTATTGTTCCTCCAATGATCGTAGTCCCAAGTACTTCTTGTCGAGCTCTTGTTCACTTCAAATCATTCAATTCAAGATATCTTTTGAAATAGAAAAATTCAATTAAAAAGAAAAAAATATAATATACATATACAAATAAATCTTCACAGACATGTCTATTTCACCGAGCCTCTCTCCGAGACAGTGCCCAGATCGTTACGCCTTTCGTGCGGGTCGGAACTTACCCGACAAGGAATTTCGCTACCTTAGGACCGTTATAGTTACGGCCGCCGTTCACCGTTCGAATCCCTCTCTCTCCTTTTACTCGGCGAATGTATTTTTTATTCTTTTTTTTTTTTTTGGTTAGCTCGGTTTTAGACAACCCTAATCTCAACTCTGGCAAGTGAAATTCAATCACATGTACAGTGAAGCAAATTGTTATGCCAACTGGTTGGTAAAAAAAAAATTCGCAGAGCAAGCAAATTAGGAAGATTTTTGTTTGTTCCATGAGCCTCTAGTAATTAGATTTTGTTCCCTTGTGTAATACTGGATGTGCTCTTTTGAATTAATTTCTTTTATTATTTTTTTTAAACAAAAAAAAAACTTATCACTTATGTGACATGATTTTTAAGAATTCCTACAAATTAAAAAGCTTCAAATTTATTGTCAGTAATGATATTTTATAAACTTTTTTAAATTTTGCAGAAAATATTCAATATGATTTATGTTTCGTGAATGACAGTCTATAATTACTTGAATATTATAGTTATTCATAAAATAATATGATTATTACGAAAATATTTTGAATTATCAAATGAATCTTTTTATAATATTTTTGAATTTATATCGGTTGTGCCGGACTAATTGAAATTATTTGTGTATATGAAAAATATTTTGTTGGTAAAAGCAAAATCTATTTTGATAATTTCTATGTCCTGAAATAATTAATACTGTGGAAAACTCAAAAAAAAGTTTAACTAATTGAAGTATGATGTTTTCAACTGACCGAATTATTTCAATTAAGGATTATGAGTTTTCAATTTGATAAAGGATTAAGGTGAAGTTGGTACCATGATGTAATTGCTTACATCACATTTCTACATGCAATTAAATAATAGATTAGAATCCAAAAAGGAGTGTTGTCGTTGGGCAAAAAGAAAAAAGAGAAAACAATGCTTGGCTGACTTAAGCCATGACAAACTCTAATATTCATTACGTTTCGACGCGAGAATATGCCACCTCGACATCCTGGTAGACGAGCATATTTTTGATGTGAAAGTAGGTGCTTTATTATTAAATAGAGAAAAAATAGGAATATGAAAGAAAATAATTATAAAGATAAGAGTAATGTAATTGTATTTTTTTATTGTAAAAGATGTACGCTTGCGCTTATTTTGCAATGACTCGGTTACAATTTCATATTGAAGTCCATAAAACTATTCATTCTAAAGCCACTATAAATAAACAGGCCTATACCTTTTCTTCTCACTGCAAACCATTTCTTCTAGCTCTGGTGATTTCTTCATACTTCTGTACTATCTTTCAACTATAGGAATGGCGGATGAGGTGGTTTTGCTAGATTTCTGGCCAAGTCCTTTTGGGATGAGGATTAGAATTGCACTTGCTGAAAAGGGTATCAAGTATGAGTACAAAGAAGAGGACTTGTTGGGGAACAAGAGTCCTCTGCTCCTCCAAATGAACCCGGTTCACAAGAAAATCCCGGTTCTCATTCACAATGGCAAGCCCATTTGTGAATCTCTCATTGCTGTTCAGTACATTGATGAGGTCTGGAATGATAGATCTCCTTTGTTGCCTTCTGACCCTTACCAGAGAGCACAGGCTAGATTCTGGGCTGATTTTGTTGACAAGAAGGTACCCTTTTGTGTTGATTTTTGTGATTGTTGCTTGTAATTTCTTTGTCTTTGCTTTTATTGATATTCTTTTAGTATACAATAATGTAATTGGGTTATTACCATGTTGCTGTCTAATGTTATTTCTGACCCTTTAGATGTCATCGGGAAATGTGAGATTCATATAGTGGAAAATGGAACACATGAGGAAATAGGAATAACTACTTTTATTTGACCATTTTCCTTTCAAGATTCTCCACAACCAATCTTTGGTCATTTCTATTAGTCGAACTACTTTTCCTGTTTGAAAGTTTTGTTCTTTTGTTTTTTTAATATTCCTCTGCCTCCTTTATATATATGTAGCAAAAGATCCTGTTTATTAGAGACTCATTAGACAGTAAGTGCCTCTTATGTCAAACAACAAAAACCATTTGGATTATCTTTTAACAGCTCTTTTAGTATTGCTGTGATAGATATTAGTAAGCATTGGTTGTTAGTGATCCTTCCCCTTTCTCATTCTTGCATTTTATGTTCTAATTGAGTGTGTTTATTCTCAAATGTCAAATAGATATACGTAATTGGAAGGAAGCTATGGACAACAAAAGGAGAAGAACAAGAAACTGCCAAGAAGGACTTCATGGATGCCCTTAAATTGTTGGAGGAACAGCTTGGAGACAAGGCTTATTTTGGAGGAGACAAGTTTGGTTTTGTAGATGTAGCAGTTGTTCCATTCTACACTTGGTTCAAAGGCTATGAAATCTTTGGCAACATTAACACAGAGAAGGAGTGCCCCAAGTTTGTTACTTGGGCCAAGAGGTGCCTGCAGAAAGAGAGTGTTTCCAAGTCTCTTCCTGAACAGGAAAAAGTCTATGATTTCATTGCAGAGAGAAGAAAGAATATAGGCATGGAGTAGATTGGAGGCATAATAGTAAAGTACTAGTCTATGTTTTTTTGTGTGCTTCACCTTTCAAATAAAGTATTTAGTAACCGAGGTCACTTAACTGTGCCAAACTTCACGCTTTGTTGCATGAATATATGGCTTTGAAATACTTAAGATGTATCTTTCATCTTTGATGTGTGTGTTGGTATTGTAATCGAGTCTTTTCTGCATTATTTTGTAGTTTTATTATCACTTGGTCTCATCACCAAAACTAGACCTGTTGTTATGCTTGACATCATGGAATGAAGAAAATTTATACACCTTCCTTTGGCGGGGTTGTATTTGACATATTCTACTCTTCTAAGAGATGATTTCGATCTCATGCTTAGTCTTTCTATTATGACATTAAAAATTAATTATTAATTATTGAGTTAAATAATAATAATAAATAATAATAATTATTTTCCATTAATTTTTTACAATAATTATAAATTCAAAAATATCAAGTTTTATTATATAAAATGATAATTTATTAATTAATTTTTTCTTTATTATCAAAAAATATTATTATTTTTTTAATAATATATTTTCAGAAAATATATTGTATTATTTATTCATGGTGCTAAATATTATTTCAGTAAATAATTTTAATATTTATTTTCATATTGGTACTCATTTTAAATATAATATCAATTTTTTAATTTATTAAAATTTATTAAAATAATTATTTATTTATTCAATTTTTTGATTAATTAAAAAAATAATTATTAAATTGTGATAAGTAATAATGAATATAATATTTTGAATTTACAAAAATTTCAAAATATAAAAAATATTAAAATTATTTATGATGTTAATTATTATTTGATTCAATTAATTTAAAATTTAATTTATTATTTAATGTCAGAATAATACTATTAATTTCATGAAATTTCAGCAAGACTTATTCGTTCTCCCATGTGGCAGCCACGCCTGACTAGTGGAGCTAACATGGCTTAAGGAGGAGAAAACTTAAAAAAGTTTCCATAATAGAATAGAAAATAATTAAGTTTGAAAATTTAATATATTTTGATTTTTGTATGTATTATATAAGTATATCTTTTCATTATACTTGCTACACATGATAAAATCGTCACGGGCAGATTTGTTATTTAAAAAAAAATTTGTTGTCTTTGAGATTGTTGATTTAATCTAATAATAATAAAAAAATAGTAAGGATGGAAAGATTAGATAGATAGACAATACAATCATTCATTATTATTATTTATTTATTTATTTTGAATACAATGATGGTACTGAGATTTCAATTTACGATTTCATGCATACTATTCAAATTTCTCATTATTAGATCAATTTGAATGATTTTTATATTATTATTATTATTATTACTCGCCAATTATGTGGTCATTCGCTGGAGGATATCTTTGGTGCTAAACTTGGTGCATCTTTTACACAGAATGTGACAAGTGTTACTTTTATCAAATCATTAATAAATAATTTATTTTGAAATCAATAAAAAGTGATTTAGTAAAAAATAAGACACATATCATATTGTTAGTGAAAAATGCATGCGTGTTAGTAAAGAAATTTTCGCTGATACAGTTGATCATATATTCATTTTATTAACATGCCCATGGGCTGCAAGAGTCTAGCTTGGCCTGCATCACATCTTAGATCATGAAATGTTCCTGAAGTTTGATTTGATGATTGGCCCCAAACGTTATTAGAAAATCTAAATGAACCCGGTTCCCTAAAATCTTGCTGTTCAGTAACTTAATAAGTTGCGGAACAACGTCTGACCCTTGCTTCTAATTTCTTTATCTTCGCTTTTATTGATATTTTTATGGGTAAACAACTTCTCCTTTCAATGGAGAAGTTTTTTTTGTTGCAGCACTCACATCCTAAAGCATTGAAATTGTAAAGAATCTTGGGATACACTACTCCAAAAACTAACTCAAAGGGTGAGAGTGCCCAAGACCTTATAAATTCCATATTAGTTGCACATACAACTAATGTGGGACTATATATCTCAACACGCCCCCTCACACGAGAGCTTATTGGGCTTGAAGAGTGGACAATGCAACAGACACAGCCTACCTGTGCTAAGAAACGTCACAAGAGAAAGTGGGGGCGGCGAAGCTTTGATACCATGTAAAGAACCTTGGAATACACCACCCCAAAAACTAGCTCAAAGATTTAGAGTGCTCAAGACCTTATAAACTCCACATTAGTTGCACATACAACCAATGTGGGACTATATATCTCAACAGATATGTATGATATAAGTTTTGTTTTGTTTTTTTTTTTCAAAACAATCAATGGGCCCCACCAAAAAATTCTGTCAGCTGCAAAAAAGAACTTCTTCTGTCAAATGAGAAGTTGTTTCCCCTATTTTTATTATACACTAAATAAATGATATAAATCAGTGAGTTTTATAAACCGAGTTCAAGTTTCAATTTTTGAAATTTTGTGTAAACTATTTGAAGACCTATATTGTGGGAATCTTAACCATTAAGCCAGAAGTATATGTATGTCATAATACTTTTCTTATTATGTTTATTATATATTTTTATATAAATGTAACGAAAACAATTCAACCAGTGATTTATTGACCAAATACCTTGATCAAAATGATCATTGGTGTAAATTTAATAATACTGCCTGCATGTACTAGAATCTTATGTAATAAGCAATATAATAATTAAATAGTCAAAGTTGCCAATAAAAATTAAACCATCAAACATAAGTCATTGTCACAGCAAGAAGCTAATTATGAGGCCACGAGTATTGAAGCCCTTAGTCAAATACAAATCTCTACAGCCAACAATCCAAAAAGGAGTGCTTCCCATAGGGAAAAATAATAATAGAAGAAACAAAATACCTCTGCTGACTTAAGCCGTGACACATGGTGGTGACTATGATGATATCCGTTGGTTTTCGACTTGGTAGGTCTTATAACTTCTTAATTGGGAATGCTTGTCCAAAAGTTAAAAAAAAAAAAAAAAAATCACAAGAACAAGTTGCATAATTAAATGTAGAAAAAGTTTAAAAAAATGTACAAAAAATATGCTTATCCATTAATGTTAAAAAAGTTTCATGTAGAGATTAAACACAAAAAATTTCGCTTCCGGTTAACAAAATAATGTTTTGTATTTATTAATTAGAAGCTAGAACCAATAATGTCTTGTACTTATTAATTATCAAAATAAGTTTTTATACATTAGAAATTATAAACTTATTTATTTTACTGATTTAAATTCTTATAAAAATAGTATAATTAATTATTTATCTAATTAAATCAAGGAATTAATATTTCTCATATTATAAGAGATAAAATTATTTCTTACACACACATAAAAGTGTGAGGGGTTCATGTGGGCCCATGTGAGAAGAAAAAAGAGAAAAAAATAAATTTCACACACTTTTATATGTGTATAAAAGATAAAAGTATCTCCTACAATATGAAAAGTATTAATCCCTTAAATTAACAATATTTTATATATCAAAACTTATTGAAAGTTCTTAATAAATAAATTAATATTTTCTTTTTCTTTTTTATAAGATGAGCATGCAGTTCATTAGCTTTTATCTTTGCATAAATAATCCCGGCAAACTTTAAATTATTTCTAAATCAATTCTTGAAATATAAATACTACCTTATTAAATCGGGACAACAACTCATTTGTCACACATTTTCATTTTAATTATCAAAATATCACGCTTCAGAATGTCATATTTCAGGACTCGTTAGCAAAAGTGGATCATTTTTTGTCATATGTCCAATCATCGGCGAACATTCACTTGCGCAAGTGTCCACAAGTGCAGACACAAATTTTTTAGAAAAAAAAAATTTCACAGGTCACTCGTGTACCATGGTGTGAAAGTTTAAGGAAGTTATTGTGATGGGTGAGTCTAAAGACAAGGTGGAAAAACTGAATAATTAGATAGTGAAATGTATTATCTTCGCATACAATTATCCAGATATTGTGTTATGCGGATTTTTTTGAATGAGCGAATGTTTATTAGGTATAATTAATTATACTTTAGATCAAAATAATAATAAAAAATAGGGCAAGATTATTTTGATCGCTATAAGAATAAAAATCTTAATAAATAATCATTGCCAGAAATTGCAAAATAATTATTATTCTTAACTATAGGTCTCAAAATTCTGAGTATTGAGAATGGAAAAAATAACAAAAGAAGAATCACCTTTATATAAGTCTGATAGTATTTTTTTATAAACTACATGTATCCTTCATAGGAGGCAATCATGTTCGAGGGTGAGATTTTTCTCTCTCTCTCTCCCTCCCTCTCTCCCCCTCTTTCTATTTATTTAGTTTTGATTTGTAAAATTAGGGCTTTCGAACCTCTTAATTAGTTGACTCTTGATTACTATTTTTTTATGTTAAGTTGAAGTTTTATTTTCTTTTCTTATTTATATTCTTTTGTTTTTTCAATGCATTTACAACTTTCTTTAAAAAATGAGTTCTTTTGAGGTGATTCATATATAATAATTCTTAGGGGATAAGTTATTATATCTCTCCTTATTTTGCCTACCATTTTCAATACCGATAGATCTTCCACGTTGGTTTCATAGATCTTCCACGTTGTGCTTCCACACCTACAAAAATTATGGTAGTATTGTAAAAAGGAAAAAGCAAAATAAGGATTTTAATTTTTTTTGCTAAATAATTTGTAAGCAATTTACCCATTTAACACAATGGGATTTGGTGGGCTTATTAACAAAGATCGGTATCGTTAACAACAATAGACTATTGGGTTAGGTTGGGTTGAATATCTTAACTCGTTAACCCAATACAACCTGTTTAAGGGGGGTTAAAATGGATTAACTCGTGGATTAATTTTTTATATTTTTAAAAATATAAGGTAGAAAATATGTTTCATTTATCATGTCATGCTTTTGTAATATCCAAGATTTTTGTCTCAATCCTCCTCTTTAAGCGATAGAAAAGAAAACACTTAATTTAAGAAGAATATTATCTCGGTGTAAAGGAAAAATAAATATTTTCTATTTTGTTCTTTGCAAAGAGAAAAAAAGACATACTAATTTTCATTGATTGCACTTCCAAGAGATTGAGTATTAACACACATTTGCTTATAGAGATTGGAAAGTGGATTAACCCAATTAAAGAGGCGGGTTAATCCGTTTAAATAATTAAAATATAAACCTTATTTTATGTGTTCTATAATGTTATTTAATTCCAAATCACACTTTCGCTATTTTTTTCCAATCTCTATAAGCAAATGTATGCTAATACTCAATTTCTGGAAGAGCAATCAATGGACATTAGTATGTCTTTTTT